GTGTACTCATCACAAACAAATATGTGAATGCTTCACACTGTTTGAAACATTAGAGTCTTGGCTCCAATATCCACTTATGCGTTTGAAAATACTCCAAACCTAACAAGTTATGAAAAATGATAGGAAAATTAGTCCAGGAAATGGGCACACGGCGGTGCTTGTGTACATTTCCTCAGCGAAGCAAAAGCTAACAAAGAAAACGGGACACTGAATCGCTTGCCGGGACAACAGCTGAAGTTATTCATATAAGTATTATTTATCTCATACAAAACACAAAAATAACCACCAAGCATTCAGCATGTGAATCATAATGCCTCTTACCTTTGATCTTTTAAATTATGAAATGAATCAGATTTTTTTTTTAGCAGTTGTCATATTTCTATTCTTAATTCATGTATTTATAGCAGTTACCTGAATTAGTTGCAGCTCACTACGTTATTGTAAGAGGCTGACTGGAAGCTCATGTGATTTACCAGCAGTGCTAATATGATATGACAAACAATTATCTGATGAGAATGTTTTTTCTTGAAAAATGATGACCGCGAAACTGCTAAAAGTTGACCTATTTAAATAAATAATTCACTATGCAATTGCACTCTCAAACATAAATCCTGCGGCCATTAAGAAGTCAACAGTTTATTTGGCAACATGAATCACTTGTTTCTAGCTTCAGGGAGAGCAGTCAGTGTTGTGTTTTTTTCTTTCTAATTTAACAGGCAAGATGACAAAGAAAACGTTCCCATTCCCAGCAGCGACCTTAGGCTGTAAAGTGGCTGTGGGCTGATACCACACTGCTGCCCGGACACATCTGGAAGCTGGCTCCATCTACTTCGCATGGCAAAGCAACAGCTGCGTTTCACTGCTTTGCTGAAGGGAACTTTGATCATCAGTCAGACTTTAATCACGTTAGTTTTTTTTCAATTTAATGACAGATTTAAACACGCAATCTTAATTTTCCTCACAAGCTGCTGTAACTCAGCCTACCAAGAGGTTTTTGCCCGTTACGAACATTTGATGCAAGGAAATGGTACGCCTAAGAAACATAAAAATCCAATAACATTTTTGTTTCAGTGTAAAAGGCCTTTCCCACCAACAATCATTTTTATAATAAAGCTTGTATCAAAACCTAAAAGCAGAAAAATACTATGGAAATGTGAACATCTCCTTTAGGATCCAGCTCAGTTATTATTCAATGGCTTTACTGTTGTCAACAAATAATGAAAATATCTGTATATATCTGTTATGTCTCTCTCTTGTCATTGCTGTCTTTGTCACTCTGCCTTCCCATTACTCAAACAGCTCAATGTCTTTCTGAGGAGCCGTCAGAATTGCTGGTATTTGTACATTTGAATTGAAGTCATTGCAAAAGTGTGAATCAAAAGTAGAGCATATTTATATTAAGGTGTGGGAATACACCCTCTGACTTTTTCTCTCTTGCTGTCAAAAACAGGCCTTTCCTACCAGTCAAAGAGTTTGTCCACACTTTCTTATTCAGTGAACGAGAATCTACACACATTCACTCATAATAATTAAAGCAGTAACAAGAAACTTTCATTTTGTGTTATTTTAGCAGTCCCTGAGGACAAACGTTTTTACGAGCGTCCGAATCCCTTCAGGAAAACCAACACATTTTACTGCAGCAGGTTCTGACAGTCTGTCTGGTTCCCCTGTGCCTCCCTTTTGCGATACGGCCTGGGTCTCCATCAGCACAGCGTCCGTTTTGGCCCCCAGCGGGGGCCGGTGGAGCAGCGAGGCGGAGCGCTGCCCGTGGCTGGGAGGGGAGCTGCTGCCACCTGGTTTGGGGTTTTCCTCCTGCTGCCAGAATTCCGACATACAGGTGGGAGGGTGGCAGCTAAGCCAGATCTGGGTCGGTGAGCAGGTCGCATTTGGAGGCCCCGCTGGAGTCCTAGTTGATGGGAGTTTCTGGTTAACCTGCACGATTTCAGCGGATTTCACCTTGATTCCTTCCCGGTGGAAACGATAAGAAGCAATTCCATTCAATTAGGAATAACTATTTTTAAAAAGTCATGTTAGGACCAGTATGTGAAATGAGAAAATGTGTCCAGACTTTACACTGGTCCTGTAGGCGCACGTCAATGTAATTTGTTTTAGCACATTTTGGCATCAATTTGCCTTAAAATCGGTCTGTCTTCATCTCTATTTTTTAGAGATTTCCAATGGTCTCCATGTCCTTTTCTTTTTACTGGATCTCCTCTGTGTTTTAACTACTTCCCCCCTCTCTATGACGTTCCTTTGTGATGCTCTCCTTTTCTCATTTCTCTTTTCGCCCCCAATTTTCCGAGAACATTGCTAAAAACCATTAGATTATTATCGAATCAGACCATTATCATTCTGGCAGCAGCCGAGGGGGGAGGTCTTTATTTGCAGAGTGGATGAGCTGTAATTCGCAAACACTAACACACACGGCACCCTCACTCAGTCTGTCCAGCTAGCTGGCACCTCCTAGAGCCAAATATCTCCCTCCGAGGTCCCGTAGAAGTGGCTTGTGAACTCAACTAACCTGTCTGCCAAAGCAGATTTGTTAATTTAGTCTCTCAGAGACAAATTTGGAATTGTTTTCATAAAGTGTTTGCCACTAATTTTAACTAACCCTGCCCGAGGGCTTTGACATTATAATTAATTCTCCCTGAGACAAGTATAATTTAGTAGACCAGAAGTGTGGCAGCGAGGAGAAATTACAGTTAAAGTAAAAAATAAAAAAGGCGGATTATCATTAGGTGCAACTGTTGTGTGAGGACCAATGAGGTAATGAAGATGACTGACAGCTGACAGGAAGCAGCCAATCCATCACAAGCCTGTTAAGAACTCCACTAATTAATCAACCTACCGCACTGACACCACTCATTAACATTTTGATTAACCTTTAAACTAATTAAGATCAATTAAAACAATTAAAATCCAATCTCAAGAGGAGTGGTAAGGTTGCCAGTCAATCAATCAAGCGGGAACGTCTGAGAAACTCAGAGGGAGAGACGTGGTTAAGAGGGTGGACAACAAGACAATCTCTGTCCATTCTAAAAATGACAAAATGCTGAATGTGTACATTGAGAAAGATGGTTTTACTTTTCATGCGTTGTCTTCGACACTATGCTGTGACTAAATCAAAATATGTACGTCTTTTCATCATTGTGACATTAGGAGAACTGTACAGGCATTCATTGCATAGTGGGCGTTCTTTAAAAATCCAACACGAGAAAAGAATTCTGTGATTCTTCTTTTTCCACCTCATAAGCACATGCAGAACTCCTTTAAAAACATGAACGGAATTAATTGCAGCTTCAGTTCCTTAACTGTCCTAAGTGACCACAGTCCTGCAAGTGGCCCTGTGACAAATACAGTAAAAATAATTGACTGGGTCATAGAGAAACCTCGATGAGCACTACATGTCCAACATGCACCACAACTGGATTCCGTTTGCTGATGGACGTTTATAGAATACCAGCTCTGAAATTCCAACACTGATCTGGTACTTTGCTCAATGCGGAGACGCCACTTTCCACCTCAATCGACAGTTTTTCAGGTACCTAAATGTTCACGTCGGTAAAGGATGAGTTGTTTGTCTGAAGAAAGAATTCATTTAAAGAGGCTAAGAAAGGTTTTTCAGTGATGACAGAGACAGATGGTAATAGCCTTATGAAAGGCCAATTAACATAATTACTGTCTTAAAGGCCCAGCGTGTTAAACGGCGTGTGAAAAATACACTGGTTTCTTGAAAGAGTGGAGGAAGAATAAAAAAATAAAATCTGAATTATTAAGATGAGATGTGTGTGGGGCGGTTGTCATGTATGAATTGTGTTTTTTCACAACATGACATAAAACGTCCACATTATCTTTGGTGTTTTTCTTTGACAAGTTACAGAAACGGGGCCCAATTCCCACAGCACACATGCTCCTGAGCCCCTGGGTGGGATGCACACCTCATTCCTCTGGCCTGAGTCTGCTTGGTATTTCGGTGACTCGCTGTGAACCTGAATGCGCTGTGAAAGTGAGAGGCGCGGCGCAGTGGACGGAGTGTCAGTGATAATCAAGGGGCACGGCGCAGCCTGGTTGTCGAGAAGGACCATTATTTACGTGCGTGTGCTGCACGTCTACGCAGACCAGGTCAATGACGCCCGGAGTAAAGGCAACTGTTGTTTCCCAGACTTTAGTTTACACCAGTTTCACTGTGAAACGTAACGCACACGAGTATTAAAATGCTCTCGGTACTCTGATTGAAGTGGATTAGAGCAGTTGATTCGTTGGCAAAGATTGACAGAGGGCCACGAGGCCCCAACTGATCATTTTACTCACAGCCTGTTTCAGAGTAGCAGGAGCCTGACAAAAATATCCAGCTAACTGCCCAATGTACTTTTGATGTTGAATGGACATTATGCACAATGCACAAGTGGTTTACAAAAAGTTTAAAAGTTGCAAAAAAGTGTTTGCAGGAGACTTAAAACAAAACATGGGAGAGTATGAAAACTAAAATACTATTTGTTCAAACATGTCCATTTGCTCCACAAATCCAGCTGTCGTTACTGCTGTTGGAATATGACAAATTCATTTCCTAATGCTTTTCGACAGTTAGGGTTTGTCTCAATGAAATCAAACTCTACGCCTATGAGCTGTTACCAGAGAGAAAAAGACAAGAGAGAAAAGAGAGAACTGAACTGAGGAGAGATACAGAGAGTGTAGTCAAAAAGAGACAGGAAAATTGAAAGTGAACATGTGTAATTAACTGTCAGCTTGAAAGGGAAAAAGGCCATAAAGAAACAGAAAAAAACAGCAAAGGATTAAAATAAAATAGCAAAGGAGCTGGAGCAGAACCTTAAAAATAACCATGATTAGCAAACTGATAAGAGATCAGGAGATGCTGTCAAATCAGACTCATGTTGAATAAATAAAAGCACTGTTGAATAAATAATGCATAATGCATGTGCACGGTGTGTGTGCAAATGTGTACGTTAATATGCTGGACGTAATCTCATTCCCCATCTTACCTTGATAATGTGCGCTGTAACCGCGGTAACGGTGGTTGGCATCACTCACAAAATGCAGTCGGAGCCAGTTCTTGTTGCTGACGATGGGAGACGGCACATTACTGCCCGACAACCTGAGGAAGACAGAAAGAGAGCGAAAAAATTGGAACAAACACGCACAAAGAAAAAACTTTCCCCTTTTCTATTTGAATCCAAATCAAAATATAGGTCCTTGAGGATTAGACTGGAGAGGGGGCATACGTGCCTTGTTGATGGAAAAATGGGTTAGGTTTTTTGTACCCTAGGCACCGTTTGTGGCTACGGACAGACTCTTCCTTCACAATGTGCCGCGGCAGCTTTAACACAATGGACAGCGTCAAACATGAAATGAAGCGCCTTCTAATTAATGAACAGAATAAGGTTCTCATCGTTACAAGAATGCGTTCTGGATCTAATGGTTTGGGCTGCTGACATGGTCAGGTGTGTTTAAAATCAAACTCCATGACTGTTTTGGCTACTTGTGAGGTCGCTGGCAGTGCAGGACCTGTATTGTGGCCTCGGTAAGCTCGTGTCTTAATGCACCATTGTTCTTCACGGTGAAAATACAATTTACTGAGGCTGTAAAATGAGTCACGCTTTGTTGCAAAGCCGGAAGTCATGGGAAAAAAACATCGAAATTCACATCAATGTTTCACCTTTTAGTACCTCTTTGGCTTGACTACATACGCGAAGACGGCAATGCGAGCGTGAGTCAAAGTTAGTGCGGATGTTAGTCCGCTACAACGATGACGGTTCTTTGCGCCGGCATTAGCACACAGAAGGAGGTCAGTCCTACGATGTTGATTTAAACGGGAATGCCAATTCAGCTCCCCTTCGGTGTCCATGGTCTTAAAACACAGACAACGACGACGCATAAATATTTACATGACTACATACAAAACAAGGTAGTCAAGCTGTAAAGAAACGGCACTAAAGGTCATTCTCAGGATTGTTTTACTTCACAAAGATCCGGCCTCGTGTGTCTGTATCAACACTGAGTGAACAGTGAAAGGACACAACAAGTGTGTTTCTGTAACCTCACTCTACGGGATTTGGCAGCATGCTAACGTATGCTCCCAATGAAGTACTAAATTATATTTTCCTGCTCATTGTTCTTGCTAAGATCATGTGATGTGGCTTGCTGCTTGGGCTTAGGGATGTGACTCAATTCACTCAATTCATGTGCTTATTTCGGAGAATTTAAAGGAAGTTGGTGTTGTATTGGATAATTAATAGTTATTTCTAGAATACTTTGAACGCTAGTATTAACTTTTATTGTACCTCTTAGACGTTACATGCAAATCTAAGAGGTCTCAAACAACATAGGAACCTACGAACAGCAGTACACACTTTCAGCTTTTCCACATGGAAGCAAGCTCATAAGCTGGGGCTTTGATGGTGCGCAGCATTAGTAGATAGGATCCAATTTGCAATTCTTTCATCACGTAGGAAGGATGAGATTGCTTAATTGGCTGAGCAGATGAACAAAGCTCTCGTGGTTGGCATAGTGAGAGCTTCATGTCATTGTTGGCAGCCTTAGAGGAAGGGACTGCTTTCCAGTAGTCACTTGGAGAATAAGACAACCTGTGTAACTTCAAAAGTATGTAGCAGTGCTACTATTTCTTCTGGCAATAATCACCTTCTATACATCAGTCCTTTGATGTATGGTGCTTTCATCTTGTAATGTCAGCCACAGGCGCGTTTTCCACTCATTAGATTTTCTTAGTTTTTTCTTTAAGCAATATCTCCGTGGCTGGTACGTTTGAGACACAGGTACGAGTGCGTGCTGGACAGCCCTCTCGTGTCCGCTTGTCTTCTTCTACAAACGCCTGCAGTTGACCTTCACAGTCCATTACCATCTACTCACACACACGCACGCACAGGAATTCATGCTTACTCACACACACATTTGTTTATTGTATTCGGTGCTTTCCCACACCTGCACCTCCAATAACTGCGGTACGAAGTGGAGCACAAGAGTGCTGAGCAGGTGTTTTAGAAGGTGTGTGTGTGTGTGTGTGTGTGTGTGAGAAAGAGACAGACAGAGGGTCACATTGTGCCCTAGATCAGTAGTATTCTCTGATGTCTGCTATTAGTCACATAAACAAAGATAAAATCACACACACACACACACACACACACACACACACACACACGCAAAGCAGCTTCACAAGCCCAGATAGAAACAACTACCTGATTTACACACAACAGAGCCTACAGAACAAAATAAGAACACAACTGTGATCACGGGCAACACAAATAAAGTGGGCACTTATATCATGAGATAGCCGTTCATCCACTCTTGGAAAAGTGTCCCTGTAGTGTGATGATAAATGCTCATTTTCTTTGATTGAGTCATTACAATGACAATGATTACAAAACGTCAAGTGAATTAGGTTTGTCAGCTGCATGAAGAGGCGAGAAGAAAACAAAGTGTTTACATACATAGAGAGAGATTTTCATAGCTGTTTCTAAAATTGTTTGATTGTGCATGGATCAGTCTTTTTTGTAGTTTGGGGGTTTATTGTTATTCATTGTTAAGTTTATGCTTTTATTAGACGGTAGTATAGATACAGTAGCAGTCAAAAGTATACTATAAATAAGGAAGATAAATGCTCCTTGTCGGAATAAAATTGGTATCATTGCAATTCATATGTAATATCTGAACCCCTAACAAATGGGAGTGCTTTGTGTTTGTCATATTTTGAAAAGTATGGAAAAATGCAAGAGCATTCTATCTCTTGCTTGTCTGTAGGTCAAACCTTTCTGCTACCCTCTCTGGTACCCTTCCTCTTTTACCCTCTTCCTCCCAAAGACTCGATCTCGCCAACCATATTCACGTTTACAGCTTTCGATTCACTGACTGCTATGACATCATTACCCAGAGTGCATCATTATGGGCAAAGTGTGTGCATATTCAACCTGTTCCGACATTGAAACAGGAATCAAATCACGAATCCATACCGAGAGCAATCGTGTGATGCTAAATAATTTATCTGCTTGCTCAAGAAGCACTTAAACAACTCGTAGCTGCAGGACGAAGGTAAAATCGGTCTTACAGCCTGAGCCGAGGGGTCGAGGGAAAACATGCTGGCGACTATAAAGGTCAGCCATCTGGATGCCCTCAGCAGCTGGGAACACCTCCTGCTCAGGTGCCAGGCATTGCACACACAAAGGATGATGATGGAAGAGGAAACTACTGTCATAGTCAAGTAAACCTCAAAATGATGTTTTCAGCAGGGAACCTGATACCTCCAAAGAACATCAATGCCTGAAGAGCCTGATGATTTCTCCCATGTGAACAATTTGTAAAGCATTATTAAATCATTCATCGACGCTTATGGCTTCTGTCTGTGGATGGTAAGTGTTCTCCCAGGATATCTGCTATAAAGGCACTTCTGAGCTGCCCGGAGGTTTTATAGATCACCTTCTGATGGCCTCCAATATTTATGTTAACGCCTTGGTCTGAGAGGGTGTCCTGCTATGTGATTTAAAAGTCCCATAAGCGTAAAATGCTTTGGGTGAAGAAAGCTGGTTTTGGGAAACATACTAACAAGGGTTTAAACAAGGGCTCTTAATTGTCTCCCGGGTGTCCTTAGCATGATTGTACAGATGATGGCAGCCTACAATTTGGAAAACGAAAATGACAAAAACCAAGAAGAGAAATACGATGTGAAACGCTCTCCAGTTCCTCTGCAGCTTGTGCCCTCAATTATGAAAAGAAAGCAATAGGGCTTCTTCTCTGGGGAACCAGAGGAAATAACTCGCTTTGGTGATATTTCCCTCTCGCACAATACCGTTGTGTAAAGCCCAGCGGAACCAAAATGCGGTGTGGCCCTCTGGGAGAACATTTTCATATTGAATGATCAAACCCTCACAGGAGTCTGTCAGCGACCAACAACCAACACTGATTGACCGCGCACATACGCAGGGAGCTGACTTTACAAATAGTAAACAGATACTGAAAATGCATGACGGCCTCCAATGTTCCAGTTTCTACAGCAGAACCAAAATAAGACCCTGCGCTGGAGAACGAGTGTGTGATCTTGTACGTGTGTGTGTACGCGGGAGAAAGAGAATATTAAGAAGAGCGTTGCCAGAAGGAGCGTGATACCAAACTTGATTAAATACACTAGACCAACAGAGCCTTTCTCCCTCCATCCATCTCTGTCCACCATCCTCCCAGCTGTCCGCTGTGACTCTTTTCCTCCATGGAAATAACCACGCTATCGGCAGTATGGGAATGAGAGAGAGGTGGGGAATAAAAAGCACAGTGTGGCAAAGATCGATTGAGGTACAGTGAAACAAGGAGGGAGAGAGCAAGGAAGCAGTGTGTGTGTGCGAGGGGGGAATTGTAGCTAAAACAAAAACTAATTGGCAGCAAGATGGCTTTAAAAAATTGGGTTGAGTTCATATTTCATTCTTTCGACTTTTGACAGACTGTTATGTCTCCACGCAATTGTTCTCTCAAGTTGTAATATGCTGAGATGATGCCCGGAGCGCGATCATGATAGCACCTCTCACACATTCAACTGCTTTAAAATGCTTGGAAATCAAACACAGACAGGAGAGCGTAGCAGAGAGACGAGAGACGATGTTCTCTGCTGTGCAGCAACTCCCCCCGGGTTGCAAACGGCTGTTGCTGTATATCCAAACTGCTGCACACAAATGTATTCAATATTGAACTTTATATATTGTCTTTGGTGCAAAACGCAATCAGTCATCAAGGACAAAGGTGTCTGTGCGGTACGGCTCATCGTGACCGTTGACGTTCTACCAGAGGGGTTTAAACTTAGAAGTGACATCTTGCATTGGCAAGAAAGATGGACATGTGGCAAACTTGATATCTGACCACAGAGACAAGGTCAACAGACTCCACCATCTGTGAAGTGAATGGCTGTCCGCAAACATGCAGAATCCTGACATCAGTGGTCACGGGGGTCAGAGAGCTGCACTAACTGTTGGATGTGGCTATTCATAAGACGGAAGGGGTGTGCTACTTAATCAGGCAATCTGTCTAATAGCCTCTAATTAAAACAGGCGGGGACTGACACATACGCACGTAAATGAAGAGAGAGAATATGCTCACACACAC